CTATCGCGAAGTATGCCGTGCCCTAAAGTCTTGGGTACCCATTTGGAAAACCATCTTTCCCATCTGCCTGGTCCTTCTTCTCAATCCCGAATATTCCCAGGTGTCTCCGGTTTACGAGACCCATCGCATATCACTCAGCGCTCAACTAATAAGGTCAACCAGTCAGAGGTTATCAGATTTTTGAGACCAAAATCTCCTTTCCACTTAGCCGCACTCAATGTCGGCACACTCTACCNCCTAAAGTCTTGGGTACCCATTTGGAAAACCATCTTTCCAAACTGAAGTATGCACACAGCAAATTGCTGACTGCATATGCGTCAATTTTCACGGTTATACTATTTTTATTGGGCACAGCTGTGAATTGTTTATACATGTGCACACTACAGTGTTACATATACATCGCTGTTCTTTACACAGTTGTGTGTGGTTCAAATGGTTTTCTCCGCCGCTAGTGTGCTCCCTTCTCTTGGACTGTCTGTGTTCGAGCACGCATTTGGATTTCCTCTCTCTCATCTGTCCAGTTCGGAACACACTCCTTATTCACGTGATCAGTTCCACTGGTCTCTCTCTGTGATATCCTGGAGTGGGGTTAGGGCGCATGAACATCATCTGTTGGCCTAGAAAATGCCCAACGTCTCACTTATTGGTTTCCATTTTATTCAACGAGGTTAGCTTGCACAGTTGTTTTTCCTGCCAGATCGTTCATGGTTCTGTTCACCCGGTTGCGTCGCACCAGTCAGTTACCGGAATGAACGGCTTGTCAGATCTGCACAGAACAACCGAATTATTNTCCTTTTGCCTTGTAATAATGTAAATCATTGTGCATGCGGTTACCGTTCGTCATGTTTTTGCATTTTGATTCGATAACGAAATTATTTCTACTTTCTTTGTCAACCCGGCGCTCGTTTCGTCCACACAGGAAACAAAGCTGTTGGCGTGATGAAACCCGGTCACTGTTTCACCATCGAGCCCATGATCAACGAGGGGACTTGGAGAGATGAATTGTGGCCAGACAAATGGACCGCAGTCACCCGAGATGGCTTACGTTCCGCCCAGTTCGAGCATACCATGATTGTACTGGATCCGAAAGACACGGAGCACGCCGCGCACGGCATCCCTATTGAGGTTGTCACTAAACGCGTCACCAAAGGGGAGGATCCGTTAGGGTCTAACTTGACCTTGCCGGATGAGGATCAATTGCACTACGAACGTTATGGACGACCATATTTTGTGGATCAGCTACATCGACTCGGATTGGACAAGTGGATCACTACAGAACAAACCAAAGAACAGTGATGTGTTTCTATGTGGTGGGGTACCGATTGAATTGCAGTCGAGAAACAAGCGAACCCTAAACTTCCCGACTCACACCAGTCAGAATTACCACACAGCAAGTCAGCTGCAAACTCGTTCTTCTCCGGTTGTCACTAGTTATTTTCTTGGTTCATCACAACCGTAACACATTTGTAAATCGATGCAACACTTTTGTGATTTGGTCTTGTTTTGCGTCTCCTCACTCTCCGTTTCTCCATTTGTCCCCGATTATCGTCCGAATGGGGTAATATAGTAGGACAATAGGAAATGTGTGTGATGGATTCAGCCAAGCATTGTCACGAACTCTTTTCACTTCCGGTAATGTCATTCACCAAAGTTTGTCCTACTTCATTAATTGACGAACGGCATTAACAGTGATACTCGTAGGTACGAGAACCCGCTCACGATAACCTCTGTATAGCACCACCATCATCGCCACTGATTTACTTGGACGCCAGAATTCTTTCAAAGACTAACGCAAACACTCAGTCAGTTTTCAAATGATGCTTGCTCTCATCTATTTGATCAGCGAACGGCACCCCCCCGTCACTGGCAAACCTGTCTTATCCGGATTGCTTCCAATCGGCGCTAAGTGGTTCACTTTGGTTCGACTTATGCTACGAATTTACACTGACTATGGACTTGGGGTTGGCCTAGTGGTNTAGTGGTAACCAAATTGAGTGGTGATAAAAGAAATTCGTATTCCTGCTGATATAACCCTGAGATGAAACGAAGAATAGATTAGTCGCTTAAAGGCACTTTTGGTTATTCTTTGCAAACTCAATACATTTCTATGTGAGAGGGCGCCTCTAAGGATGTGGAGCGGGTTCAACCAGACCTAGAATCGATGTGCAATGTTGAGTAACGATGGAAAACCCGATACTCATCGTCACAAGCCGCAACATGGAGTAAACAAAACTTTCCATGGAGAACAATCATTTTGGAGTATTTATATTTTACACTTGTCTGAGGCCAGACCTTGTGCCAAACAAATCATGATACGATGATCTTTATGAAAACGGAAAACGTTCCATGATTGGCTTATGGGCTGAATACTGCCAGGTTGTCCAGGCCAAGGCAGGTGAATTTTCTTGAGGAATCCACAACCGGAGCCTTTGGCTAGCCAAAGCCTGACCCGCAAGGCAACGGGGTGGTATGTGAAAACCGCAATCCATTGGGGGCTGGTGTCCAGTTCATCGGATCATACGCTCTTTGGACAGGATCAAGAGTTCAAGGTGCCCCATTGAGCCAATGATCATTGCCACAGCCGGGAAGGTGTGGCTGTGGTTCGTAAGCCTCTTCTTGGTTGGTTTGGAATCAGGGTTTTTGGCTAGATCCCCAAGGTGAACTTCCATTGGTCCACCAACCCTGTTATAGTTCTGGATGTCGGCTTTTCGTCCTCTCACTTTGTTGGGACACCTCCGTCACAAGAAGGTAGTGAGTAGGGCTTCCTCAGAAGAGGCTATTTGAAGCGCGTGGTCTAATGGGAGCATTTCTCGAGGTGCAAGGGAAGGGTGACCAGCCGCAGCCCTAGATACCCACCCCCGACGATACTGATGCTTTCTGATTTTCACACCGGATGCGAACAACGCTCCTTCGAGGACAAGTGAACTTGGCTGTTCTTCAGTGCAGAAAACCCTACTCTATGTAATGCCGGTATCTAATCTTCTCTTGAATTTACTACCTCAGACTATCTGCAAATGGGCGATCCCACCGATCAGGGTTCGTGTTCAGGTACAGGTACAACAATGTGAGTCATCTTGACTGCTACCACAGGGAGAAGCAAAAACGCAATGAGTGTGAGGTAACAATGGTCATATAAAACATGCTGCTTCTCTCGCGCGCCCGAACTCTTTGTGACACAGACAGATCCGAGGGGCTTTACTGTGTAAAAGACGATCAACAATCGCAAATTAGTAATCACAAACCGAGGGATGGAGGAGAGAAATAAAGGACGCTTATGGAATGACGTGGTGTTGTCTGACCCAAGGAGTCATCATGAAACTGGGAATGAGAATGGGTGTGGGAGCTGTTGGATGGGGTTGCCGGGGCGGAAGTAGCAAAAAATCAGTTACAGATCTGGTTGTGGCGTCCATTGCTGAATCTTGTTCAACCGATTGTGTCCGTGCTAGGTCCACAGACTTGCAGCGAACAGGGTAAATGTGGCCACATGACACAGAACACAACTGGCTATACTCGCTGAGAATGCATGACCAAAGTGTTCCTCCGTTGACAATCGAGTAGCCTGAAATAGATGGAGTATTGTCTGGGATGAGCTTCGAGTTTTGTTTTCTTAACGCTAAATCATTAAAAAAATAGTTGACTTGCACTGGATTCCCACAATCACCCACATGGAAACTCACCGCACTTCTCGGTCTGATTCACGTCGGTCTTATGCACCCCCCCCAAGTTTGAGCTCAAATTCACTTAGTCGAAAGAAGGCAATCGCTGGTCCACACAACGATGGCCTCATTAAGTTAGTTTTAATTGTCTAACCCCGAAAGCCAGTGCTGAAATGAGTGAGGTTTGATGCGTGCAAGAAACTTGCAAAGGTGGATGTTGCTATATTGTATGTAAAAAAACGGTCTAATCAGGTGCCCGGTGAATAACGGGGTTCTCCCTTTGAGGTCCAAGGTTCGATCCTCAATAGGGTCAGTGGGTTCGCACTACCAGTGATACTTATCTAGATCGAAAGGGCTACACAATGCTTTCTAGCCTCAGGTTGACGCTTCATTTGATCTGTGCCCGATGAAGTTCACCATCGGGGTTACAAATATTGTGCCCCAGTAGTAGTGAAAGTAATCGCAACTACGTCAATCAAGGATTCTCTCCAACAGTTTTCAATTTTTGCCTCAATCGGTTAGATACTGATACAGCCATGCAAGATTTGTTGAAGTCAGATCAATAATGCACCTTAGCCATCCATTGTTGACAGAACTTTCAATGCGATCTAAAAAAATACGACTCCGCAAATAGGCAGTGATGATAATGAAAAGCGAGGTAGCAAAAGGAGAAATGGCGGCATGAGTTAAATGATACTGTGATTGTCGTCCCCTGGAAACCAATAAGAGTCGACTGAGGTGCAACTAAGCTGTGAAAAGCTGTAATGTGTGTAGGAAAGTTTAAATTTATCGTGCTTGAGAGAAGTAAAAATGGAGCCAGACTGAGATAGACCGTTGGGTGTGGTGCACCAGACAACGTTGAGTCACGTGCCTTGAGGTGTCGGTCGACAATGGAGTCGGTCAGCGGTACATAAGGGGGCAGGCAGCTCCATATACACAGATTGTTTTTCAAACTGTATCTGACATGAAGCGCACAAGTAAATTAATTCATAATTTACAAGTAACGCGACTCTCACGTCGAAGGCGTGATATGTAAAATGTCAACTTTCTGACTTTAAGAAATACTTGTACGTGGTAGCTTAATTTGAGGTCAGCAGATAGAAAACATCAAGGTATTTGAAGTGCGGTGACCTTTCCACGGTTGCTTTGTTAAAATTGTTCAGTTAACTTTGGTGGGGTTCTAACCCACGCATGCACACCACCTACGTTTTTGTATAGGCATACTCTACTGATTGAGATACAAGGCCTCAACGATAGCACTAATCTTTCCACATTGGAATCGACTATCCAACTTACAGAGGCGTATGTCATCCACCAGGTAGTTTGTAAACCGACTGACACGACGGGTGAAAAAATCAGCACTATCGGCGAGGCCTCGTATCTTAACTGGTAGAGCGTGCGCGGTATCAAATGTAGGCAGTGTCCATGCGTCGGTTCAAGTCCCACCGAGACCATTGAACTTTTCACAATCTCGAGATGAGATTTCAATCTGCCAAACAATATTGCGCTGTTAACAAAGATGTTGGGAATAAGTGATCCGGAATGCGTAGATTTCCTACGATTAGGTTTGAAGGAAGGTTAATACAATCAGGCCGTTTAGAAATTTAGACATGAACCTCCGTAGAATAGTCGTGCATCCAATCCAACAGATATGACGAGAAATTTTGTTACCGCCATAGTGTCGATCGGGCGTTTCTATCAAGTGCTTATACAGTTCAGAAGCAAACGTGAAAAGTTTTGTGGGTTTGTTCGATCATGGATGTGACACGCAATCGCATTCACAATAAAGCGAAGCGACCGGATTGGAATCACAAGGATAGGCAGCAGAGGATAGAGCCATAATAATTCGCTTAAAGAGCCTAAGTAATATCGATGATGAAGCGATTGACCGGAATTTCCGCTTTTCTTTCTTAGGTACTGGAGTGATGTGAACATCGCACCATGCATCAGCTAGTTTAGCTTCTGGAAGACATTAAAGATGATTGGAACCCTTTGGATCAGGTGGTTCGCACTGGGGACCGAAGGATTTACTGCTATTGATAACGTTCAGCTAATTTGAAAGCTGCTGTGTTTTGACTGGTTCAAGAGGATGGAGACCACTTGACGTTGTGCTTGCACTTTGCTTTGCTTGCACAATGTCGTTAGTAGTAGAAAAAGATCTATTGCGTTCAGTGGTGTCACTTGAGACTAGTGGGTCCAGTCGGACGATCGCGGCGCAACTTCATTCCATTCCGTGACTGGCGGCAGGACTTGTATCAAAATACAGCGGATTGAGATGGGCTCTCTCGCTTCTGACATGAAAGTTGACGGATTTGTCTTGTGAGCGGTAAGCCTACGCCATCATTTAAGTCTGTCAGAGTAACCGATTTGGGTGTAGGTGAAACCTAACTTAAGGAGTGCACACTTCATAACGAAAGTTGAGATAATTGGTGAGGTTTGCACAGAAGGCTGAAATGTCGGGATCGGAATATAGTTGTAAGTCCGAACAGGCAATTGTGGATTCCAGTTTCACCAAATCGGGCTGATGAAATAACTCATGTGTATCTATGCGTATTAATCTTCGTGAGAATTTGTTGATTACCTTTGCCGTATGTCTTGGGTAAAAATGTACTCCGGCGGTGATGAGGGTTCCTTCTTGGT